CGCGGCGGCGTCCGCCGCCGTCTTTTCAGCCACCGCCAGCTTGGCTGGCAGCCCTGCCAGCAGCGTCACGACCGGCGCCAGTACGACCTCCCGCAGCCCTATCTCTCTAAGCTCTCCCGGCGACAAGGCTTGACAGATATAGCCTACGGACTGCATAACGACATGCGCTACGGCGGCCGCCGCCATTTGCTGCTTGTGTTGCTTGTCGCGTTTGCGCTGGGAGATGGTGCGAGCGTGGGCTTGCTTGGTGGTAAAGCTGCGTTGCATCGTACGGCCGCCAGAACCGCCGCCGCCGCCGCCGGCGGCACCGCCACCGGCGCCGCCGTTACGGAGCGCCGAGGGCGCCGGCGGCGGCCCGACCACGTCGATGCTGGTCTCCATAAGCGCCCCCACGGCATAGTGGGAGAACGCATCCACGAGTGCCGTCAGTGCGCCAGCTTTTATAGCCTAAGGGGAGTGGTAGGGTTGGGTAGTGAGCACTGAAATATTCAAAGAATGAAACTAACTTAGATGTTCGGTAGAAGTTAACTTTTAGAGCGTCTGTGTGATATTGTCCCCCAATGCAGGGTTGTTGTGAGATGTGCTTGTACGTTTGGAGGAAATGCCGTTGAAGGTGGGTGGTAATAAATAACTGATAACTGATAACTGATTTGGGGGCTCTTCTTGAGCGCGTATGCATGAACGGTGAGCGGGGATGTGAGGTGAAGCATCTGGGTCAAGCTGGGTCGAGCTGCTGAGGATAACGGGTAACTCCCCCCCCCACACACACACACACCATCGCGTGTGTCTGGCGGGTAGGGACAGCTGAGGAGGGTATGCAACAGGACTGGCACACACAGCATTGTGTGTGGAGTCCCAAACAGAGTCTACAGGCTACACGGTCGGCTACGCGGCTTGGTGCAAACCCAAGACATGCTTTCAATAATATGTACTGCTACATGTGATAATGATGGTGCAAGCATCTCACCTGCTTGACTTGGTCAGCGCTCACAGCGTACGCCGTGTAAAGGCCATCTGAGCGGAGCACTAGACGAACCAGCGTGCGAGAAGCGGCCGCTAAGACAGCGCCGCATTCTGGTTGGTGCTCTGCTGGGCTAGAAGCGAGAGACTGGAGTACATCTGCCAGCACGGTGAACGCCTCGCATTCCGGACCGAGCGCTACTGAAATAAGTGCGCCCCGGGCCGAGGCCCAATAAAGAAGTCCATACTCATCTTTTTCGTCACCGGCGAGCATTTCAAGGACTTCCAGCTGCCTCTTGCGCACCAATAGAATTGCACTTGCACCATTGTCGCATGTCTGCTGTGGCAGGACTCGCTTCAGCAGAAGCTGCAGCAGCTTGGTTTCTAGCACAGCACCTGGATCAAAATTATGTTTGCTGGTGGCACGCGAGACCATGCCATGCAGCTCAACCAAGGCAGCCTCATGGCCCTCAGCCGCTTCCGAGCCCAGGCTATCAACAAGAGCTTTAAGCTTCCCCTTATCCATACCGTTGTGCTATTATTTAATGTAACTGCACATAACTATTAGCAAGAAGTGTCGTTACCTTCCTATATAATACAGGTATCATCCCAATACGTTACCCAAAGATATGCAGTGGCATATTAACATAATTAATATGGTGGTAAGCCTGGACATCGGGAATGAAGTTCCTGCGGACGCCGAAGTGCAATGGAAGCCGGATCGTCGAAACGTTGTACGGCAGACATTGAGGACCCTACTAACTGTTGTCTTGCCTTGTATTGACTCTAATAAGTCTTTTGTAGTCTGTACAGCTTGAAACCTCAAGCTTGATAAAACCTTCGTAATTGTTAACACGACCCGCAAAGCCTATGGCATCAAGAGTTTCTGGCCTTCGCGGCGGGATCGCCAATTGCTGTTTCGGCCCAGTAATTACCTTTACCTGTGCGCATGATGCAGTTTTGTGACAAGACACTGTCTCCATCGACTGACTGGGTTTCCCTTCCCCAAATAACTTACCACTCTGACGTACAGCCAGGTACAAATCCTCCAAAAGATTGAAGCTGAAGCGAATACCTCGGAGACAATTCTAATTTATGTAGCTCATCCATCTCCAGATAACCTAAGGAACTGCATCGGACGACTTCGCTGGCAGACGCTTCCTTGCGCATTCCAGTCGGTTTACCAGCTCCAGCTGTCACGGCCAAGCCTCGCCCGGCAGTGCGCACGAACGACGCGCGCGCACTCGGCCATTACAGAAGATAAACCACATGCCATGACACAGTTTATCATTTACCCAGCACGTGACGATTTGTCTTGACCGGCAGCGGCTTGTACATACCGGGCCCCATTCCACGGACCGCCGCGCCCAGAGCAATTTACCACACAGAATAGCCCCCGCTCGTGCAGCCCTATGGTCACCAACACTTCGTGCCGACAATGAAAAGTCCGCGTTGTCCCTCGGATACCTCCTGTCTGGCGCCAACCGCCCGTCGACTAATGGATCCATCCATCCATCCACCCATTCATCCACCCATGCGTACATTCCCTCCTCTCCCCCAGTCCCCAGCTCACCCTGCTCAGTAACTAAGTCCAGCCATCCATCCATTCACCGGACCTTCGCCGGACCTGATCAGGCTACCACGCGCATCACGATTCCTTCCTTCCTTCTTTGCAACACCAAATTCGTAATGAGCAGATCCGAACGGATCACTTGACTGCCCGACCGGTGGACTCCCCAGCACCCAACAGCGCTGCACCGGGGCAGGGGGATTTCAGCTGACGGCCAGAACGCAAGTAGACAGTTGTTGTTACAACACTGCCCCACAATAAGTCACACAACACACGCACCGCGAGCTTTGGAATAGCCCCAACCACCCGAGCTTGATTAAAGTTGAATGAAAAAAAGCTTTGTCAAGTTGCAAGCCCAATTGATTGCGACAATGCCCCCCGCCTGCAGGCAGCCAGATGTGCAGCTGGCAGGGACTACGATATAAGAAGGCATAGACAAAACCACGAACTAGATGAATGCGTGATTCAGGCGGTTAGAGCACTTGGTGAAAACGCGGAAATGGCTGCGGAGCCTTCGGATACGTCCCTTCACCGTGCGATTACACCTGTTCTGTTCACACACCCAACTCTTATCCACAACGTTGCTATAATTATACACAACGTTATTAATACCCGTCAGGTGCGGGCGGGGTTACTGGTTGGGCTATATTCACAGGGGGGAACGAGACACACAAGGCGACGTAAGCTACTTAAGCCCTAAAGCGATAACACGCAGTTTTGACCCAGATGCACCTTTCCTTTTCTTTGTTCTCCTTGCCATATGAACGTGAGGCGGTAGGTGGGTTGGCGGTGGGTTGAGGGTTGGGTGGCGCGTCAAAAACAGCAGTCAAAAAGGCAAAAGGAAGCTGCAACGCACGCATCACCGCCACCGGCCGCTTTTGAACCAATAATACGGACATGCCCATGTACTTTCCGATTTTCCTTATTTCGTACTTAAAACTTTGTCTGAGGTTTGTTCTTTTATTTATTCAGCACCACGCCGGATCGAACCCTGTTTTGTTTCCACATCCACCAGAGTAGTCGAGCTCGTCCACCAGAGTAGTCGAGCTCGGCATCTGTGACGGTCCGTCTGTCTGTCTGTCCTTTTGCTTCACGTTTTTCTTGGCGCTTGGGTTTTGCCGTACTTGACAGTTTTTCTTGTTCCCTGCTCAAGTTTACAAGTTTGGTTCGTAACACACAAACACACATACCGTCCCCGCACGTCTCCTCCGGCCCTCCTTCCTTAGATCTCCCTTAACAACCAACCTCAACTACCTCCAACTGAACCCCAACGACAGCTTTGTACCTCCTTAATGTAATGTTGGATGGCGGCAATGGGTCTTTTCACATCACCATCAATCATCCACACCACCATCGTCATCATCATCCCACATCAACATCACCATTACAATAATCAACACCGTCATCATCACCATTAGCATCAACATTACAAACACCACAATCATCATCGTCAGCAATAGCATTAGCATCATAATCATCAGCAGCATCTAATAGCTTTCCACCGAACGCTGATCACATTGGTCGCCGTGTTGTCGTATGAAGCAGCGGCCGCAAGTCAGGTGAGAGGGTGGGAGGAGGTGAGCGGATGGATTGCCAGTGCGAAAATCCGCTTTGAAACCACACCTTCTTTGACAACGTATGCGTGTGTTCTTTCAACAAGAGTTTAAGCCCGTACGTGCCGCTGCGGGACATCCTCCACGTCGGCGGCAGCGACGGCGGGGCCTCGGGGGCTGGTAGCGGGCGGCGAGGCTGCCCCGACCGCCCAACTGGTGATGATGATGATGATGATGATGATGATGATGATGATCGTGGTGATGGTGGTGGGGTAGTGCTCAACGGTGAACTGGTGTTTCGTACGACAGTGATGACGAGACAAACGACGAAGAATGGGAAGTGCAGTAAAACCCTAAGCGCGCCAGAACTGCTGAACCGTACTGGAGCCGTGGAGCGAACCACCCGACCTGCATGCCAACAGAGGTTATCTCTCTTCCCCTTCGTCCCTTTTTCACATCCCTGCGCCTCTCATAACCAGGTACGGTGGAAATTCGTACTCTGCACATGACCGTTAGCTACCCCCCACTCCCTGCCTTCTCCCCCTTCCCCAAGCAGTTGGTGTTTTATGGGGGGTTGGTGTATCAGCCCGGGTCATAAAAACACAAGACGCGGCACGGTCACCCATTTGGTGAGATCCTCGAAAAGAAAGAAAAATTCAACCTGCGAGCAATCCGCCTTACCCGTACATGTCCGTACACCCGTACATGCATGGCCATGCATTTCATGGATTGAGAGCATGAGATCCGATCCCAAACAAACAGGACGGTCTCTGCAAAAAGAAACAAACCGACAAACAAGCGCGGCTTTATGATTACACCGCAACGACAGTGACCAATTAAGCTGTAAACAATGGAATCCTCCCAGTACGACATTAATGCGCGGGGAGTGGCATGCCACTTAATGTCATCATACGCCGTACACCGCCGTGCGCCGTACACCGCCAAAGGAGTCCACATCCGTCCTTCTGGGCTTTCCGCCATTTACGTTCTGTGAACGATCTAAGCACGCTGCGTTCCTTACTATCGTACATCGTACCAATGTATTGCAGTACAACCTAATCAGAAAATAAGCGCGGGAGGTGCGACCGCCACGCCGCATCTCCATTACACCCCGTGTTGGTATCAAACACGCCTTCACTCAGTTGCCGTTGCGCAAGACGTCTCTACCGTAACGGTTGGCAGCGGCGACAGCGGCGGCGACAGCGGCGACAGCTGGACAACGTCATCGCTACTGCCAGCTGCCTTCGCTGCGGCGAGCTGCCGTTCTTTTGCCGCCGCCGCCGCCGCATCATTGGTCTGCCCTGCCAAACCCTCTAGACCCATACCGCCGTCGTTGTACGGCGGGCTGGAGGGCTGCGTCGCCACTGCAGCCGCCACTTCCGCCGGCGCCTTATGAGGGCTTGACGGCGAGGAGGACGCCACCAAGCTGCGGGAAATGCGCGCGAGCCAGTTTCGGCTCTTCACCCCGGACACCGTCCCCGTCCCCGTCCCCGCCCCCGCCCCGGCGGACCCAAATCCAGGACTGGCTCCGGAACCGGGCCCTGCGGTGGCGCACACGCTGACGGCCCGGCTTACCACCAGGTTCTTCGTCGTGACGCTGCGAGCACGCGGCCTGCCGACAGCGCTGGACAACCGCGGGCTTACCGCAGGATCCTGTACGACAACCCCACCGTCGGGGATGATGGAAGAAAAGTACAGCTCCCCGGGCGCTGACTGCCGTTTCCCGCGCCGCTGCTGCCGCCCCGCTGCTGCTGCTGCTGCTGCTGCCTGTCGGCCGGCGCCGTCCGCACCGTCGGCATCGGTGGCGGCAGCAGCCGCGGGCGCCACGTCGCCCCCGCCGCCGCCGACGCTGCTGCCTAGGTCTACACTGCGCTTCCGGAGCCCTAGCGCCCAGGAAGTGGAAACCCAGGTCGCGGAGGCGGCCCGACTCGTTGCTGCGCTCCTTGACGGGCGAACCGGGGAGCCGCCTCGGGATGGAGTTTCGGAGCGAGAAGCTCTTGAGATGTGGGACTGAGACGTATTATATAGGGGGGAGGCGGGTAGAGGGATACATGGCAGGGCAGGGAGAGAGAGGTTACAAGAAGAAATGCCGAAGCCAAGACACAACGCCCGACGACGCGGAGAAAACACAGCTTTAGCAAGTCAAAAGACAGCATAGCGCGCAAACGGTCTGAGAGAATGTAGAAGGAGCAGGGAGAGGCAACGGTGCAGGATATCACGGAAGAAGGGCTTTGGAGGTAGGTCGTGCCAAAGTGTGGAAGGACACGCCAAAACTTGCACATGGAGACACATCAACAGCCAGTAACTTAAAACCCCATAACGGCTATTTTACCTACATACCTCCGTGAAATTAGCCGTAATGCGTCTAAAGAGGCGTTCGGCTTTTTGTTGCACCGCCTTCAAGGCGCTCGGAAAGCCGCTCTCATGTGCCTTGTGCCCGCGTGTAGTTGTGAGATATTCGCCGTCAGAAGCGCGTCTGAAACGAACATGGCGACGCGCTGTGTTTCCTGGGCAGCTGGTGCGCCCGCTCAGAGGCTCTTGGTCATCGCCGCTACCATCGTCCGCATCACCGATTTTGTCCACGTCCTGTCCCTCCCGGGTCGTTGGAGATGACGGTGACGCATGGCTGCTAAAGCTCACACCTGTTTCAGGTAGAGCGCTTTTAGAGCGGCCGTTGGGCAGGTCCAACGAAGACCGCTCCCTAAACCGTTGGCGGTATATGCGGAGGCTGTCCCTGTGATGTCGGTTCGTAAACCTGAGCAGAATAGCATCAGATTCGGTCTGCAGATCCAGCAGTCCTTGCGCAGTAGGCGCAACGTCCCCGTCCTGGCCAGTGGCTTCGAAGTCCGCCGCGCCAGTGTCCAGCACCTCCTGCGCAGCTTTACCAGCCAGCCTACGCCTCGCAAGGCCTAAGGAATCTATCCTTGCGCATTTGGACAAGCCTGTTTCCTTACTTCCACGGCCCAACAGGACTTTTGCGAAACCCATATTTAACAGACAGCCGCTTTTCGATTAACAAACCGAAAATTCAGCGACCTATATCTGCAAAAAAAATGTACAGTATAAGTGGTTAAACCTACAGCGATAAAGGGCCACGAAATTCCATGAAGTACCAACACAAGACACGCATGACGAGTACATTTCATACAAAGTGCACACTTCAAGCACGCCTAATTATACGTAACGCTCAGGTCGACCCTCTGTTGTGCAATCCCGCAATCCTGCAATTTACCAGCGTTTTCACGTCCGTTTCGCCGTCACGCTCAGGTGCAGCCTTGCGTATGTAGCAAGTCCTATGTTGCGTATAGACCATTTTTGCTTGCAATAACATGAAAAGCTTGGTGCGACGTCCGATCCCACTTCCGACAAACAGCTCATTTCATTGATTATGAGTCAAGCGTTCGGCGGGCCAAGGACTCAGTCCAAAGGACCCGAGAAGGGAGTCTTTCCTCTTGACCACTTCGCTGAGTGCCGTGACGTAAGTACCAACGCACTCCCACCTCGCTCATCCCCCACTGGATTTCCATCCCACACCCTACCACCCCCATCCACACGTTGCGCGCAAAAGCGGCTCACCGAACCCAACCCCCTTCGCGCCAGTGCCCCTCCGGTCCCCCTTCACACGTCCCGTATCCTCGTCACGCCCCCAGGCCGCCCGGCGCTACCTGGCCTGCTTGGAGGCTCACGAACAGGACGCATCCCACTGTGTGCAACTTAGTAAGGAGTATCTCAACTGCCGTATGGACCGGTGCGTGCATGCGTGGGTTGTGGCCAGTAGCGCCGCGCCGATGGCGCATGTTGGGCATCAGATGGTCCAGATGGTTCCGCAAACGCACACACGCATACATACATACATACATACATACATACATACATACTGCGTAGAGTGTTGGCAGTCTGAGTCGGGGTCGGGAGCACACAAGACTAACCGACTTGTGCTGTGTGCTCCCGACCCTTGCGCTGTGTTTCGGCTTCGGCCCCCGGCTCTCGCGGCCCACAGTGTAATCTAAGTCATACCTACATATACTAGGGTTTGGCACTACTGGTAAGGCGCGACCTTTGCCCCCGGGAGATCCCGGGATCGATACCCATTAGGGTCAAAAGTCCTTCCGATGGTGGAAGGCATTGCGCCCCTAGTTGATGGACGGTGGTGACCTGGGATAAAGTTAACCTGCGAGCCGACCAGGAATGGAGTTGAGCCTCTGCCGTCGACCCGGCAGATTCCGTTGGATGCTGGTGGTGGGTGCGGAACCTGAGCGATCCACTGAGAAGCTGACTAGGGTGACTGGATGAGGGTGCCCCGAAATACCGGGGAAGGCAGGGTTTCGCAGGGTAGCTGCCACGGGCGAAGATACACCCCCCTGTTTCACACATCATACATACATACATACACACGCACGCGCACATTAAACCCATCGTTAATTCCTTCATCGCGCCTCACAACCATGCACACTACCCCTCGCCTAGGGCACCGTCGTTTTACAGGGGCACCCTCCCCCCTTACATAGTTCTACGTTTGGTACACTCTTGCCCTGGCAGCAGCTTCACTCGTGTGTGGTTCGTCTTTCCCCCCTTGCATAATCGGGTGAATCAATGTAAATTTTATATCTCAGATAAATAAATTAAAAAATAAATAATAGATGCAGCATGGGCTAGCAGTCGACAAGCAGCTGATGGAAGACAGGGAAAAGGAACGTCAAAAAAAAACCAGTCAGCGAGGGCCCATTCCGGCCCAGAAGAAGAAAGCGTCGTCAAACAACGGCCCTGATGTTTTAACAACCGCTATAACCGTACCGCTGCATTCGCGTTATGCCGTACAGGGACCTCATGGCGCAGCAGGACCTGAACCAGCTGGGCCTTACGCCCGTGCGGCCGGCCGCGCAGCCAGTGACGCAGGCGGCGTCGGAGCCGGCCGATAAGCGAACTTAGGGCCACCCCTCTCTCTCTCTCTCTCTCTCTCTCTCTCTCTCTGTGTATCCCCCCGCCGCTTGTCCCCTTCACTAGCCCTCCCGCCGCCGCCACCACTACCGCCACCGCCGCCGCCGTCACCCGGGTCAGGTCTCGAGCAGGTGGAGGATTGAGAGGAGGTTACTGAGAGGGGTGCCGACGGTACGGCAGCAGCTGTACGGCAGCAGCGGCAACGGCAAGGGCAGGCAGCGGCCCAGTCAGCAGCAAGCTGGTGTAAAAGACTTTATTCGTTCGTACTAGTCTCCCCAACCTTTCTGTCGATTGGGACCGCAAGTAGTGTCTGTTGTTGTTGTTGTTTTGCTTTTTTCTCTTCTTTCCATTGGGTTGGACCTAACTTAAATTTTTGAAGTTTTCTTTTCTTTCCTCACACAATCGCGCGCGGGAAGCAGTTCCGTTTCAGTTACGGAGTCCGTTAAAGTCCGTTAAAAAATTGCGTACACATTCTGGGGGGGGTTACCTATAGGTATGTGCATGAAGTGAACCAGGGTAAGGGGCGGTTCGGTTGCACGTGATGACTCATCAGACTGCTTTCCCCCTTCCTCGATGCCCTCCTCCTGTTTGTTACTTTTTATTACTTCGGAGAGTGGTCGGGTGGTCGGGTCGGGACATTTGCATGAGTGCATTAGTAGTAGTTGTAGTTGTTGTTGTTGGGTGTTACACTGTGGGGGGCGGCTCGTCCCGATAAAGGACCGAGAGCACCGGGGGCCCTGACCGGGGGCCGAAACACAGCGCAGGGGCAGGCGCGCGGCTCTACGTCCGTCTCTCCGCGCGCGCCTCATTCCCTCACTCACGCCAACCGGGACGCTCTCACAGCCCCTGGCTAGGCAACACAGCGGCGTGTCGTTATTGTTGTTGTTTTAGTACCAGTGGTTCTAATGGTGCTTGGGGGGGGGTCCGTGCGAAACCCAATGCCACCGATGTGCCGTGTGGCATCGAAAGGAGTTGATACTGTACGGCAGCTGTTAAGAAGACGATGTTGCCGTACAGCAGCTGTTCAATTTCTTTTCCTGCACTTTCTTCTCCGCGTATATCTTCCCATCGGATAACTGAATGGGAGTGGGCATCTGTTATTGTATTAATGTGCGCCACTAGTGTTGTGGTGATGTAGATATACTGGCGGGCGGGCGGGCGACATACGTACGCACGCGCATCGCATCGCATCACAACCCGCAGATGGGTGGATGTGTTCAAATCGGTCTCCGCCGGTTTACTGGAAGTCAATTCCATTAATCTGCTTGCATTCGTTCTGCAAAGTCCTGTTTTTCACATACATACGTACGTACATACATACATACACAACACCCCTGGGCCCCCGGCTTTTCAGCCCACAGTGTAACCAACGTCATACATACATCATTCATACATACATACATACATCATACATACATCATACATACATACACAACACCTGCAGCGCTGAGGAATACTTCTAAAATCACGAGTCTGACGCGGCGCCAAAGCGTCCGAACCGCGGCCCCACGTGTTCAGTACACACACGCCACATCGAACACCTTCCAGTGTACAACAGGACGCTCTGCCGTACACCTGCGCGTATGCTTACAATAAAGACACGTGTATTATAATTACAAACTGAAATCGCGAAATAGCACAACAGCATATGCAATTCGACCACAGCTGTGCTGTACTGTACTGCATGTTTCGGGCTACCCCAAGCACTTAATCTACAGAGCTCTCTGGACATGGATGCAATCAGGTTGGCTAGTGTGGCGTATGTCTCGCCTTAGCCCCTCGCCCATCAATACGTACAATACACATATCTGTCCCTCATAACCCTTAATAAAAGCTTTAAAAACGTCCGTGAAAAGCTCGATGGAAAAATTTCCACATATACTTCGCCGAATACGAATACATCACCAACGTACATTCTGTGTGTCCAGCCCGACCCTGGTGACCCTCGTAGCCCACCAAGTGGCACCACCTCTTGCAACAGCAGTAGCAGCGACACCTGCAGTTTTAAAACACCACCACCACCACCACCACAGCAGCATCACAGCAGCAGCAGCAGCAGCAGCACTAGCAGTAGTGGCCGGAAATGCACTTCCCGTATAACATACATACATACATACAATCGACAATGTCACACACGAAAACATGTACACATCCAGACAGATTTCACATCACCACCACCACCACCGGCAGCAGCAGCACCATTATCAACTAACGGCAACGGCTCCTCGCAGGACGGGACGGGAAGGGGAGGGGAGGAGGAGGGGGGAAGGACAAACGACAACGACAAGGGAACAGCCTTCACGTATCTCACCCTGGACTCGAGAAGTAGCAGCAGCAATAGCAGCAGCAGTAGCAGCCGCAGTAGCACGCGGAAGGTTTAAGTCCGCTTCATGTCCGTAAATCTCCATAATGTGTTCCCCCAGGATTACAACACAACATCTCCAAATTACACCAAAAACATTTTTTCTTCCGCTCTACGTTGTATGCGTTACAAAAAGGAAACAGGGTTGTCATCTTCCCTAGAGGTGTGGTGTGGTGTGGTGTGGTGTGGTGTGAAGTTTGGGAGACGAGGAAGGGGCACCTTTACACATCATTGCCTCCGAAAATCTCGACGCTCCGAAACCCCATTTTTTTCCCCATCGTCATTTCTCCCCCCCGCTTCCCCCCGAGCCCGCCTTGACAGGTTTTGTGTTTCTGCCGACCCGCCTGCCCTGAAATGGCCTGCCCTCCTGGCCTGAAATGATGAGGAAAAGAGAGAAGACACGAGAGAGTAGTAGATCTGGCTTGAACAGGAAAACGTGGTAAACCAGATCAGCCTCGAATTTCGAAACAACCGAATCCTCCCCCCCTCCACCTCCTCTTCCTTATCATCATCATCATTATCACCATCGTCACCATAAATGACCATTTATTCTCCCGCGCCAAGAAGGCGCCTCTGTCACGTCACGTCGTTCGCAACCCACTACGGAAAAGCTGCCACATCCGAGTCCCCCACATGGCACACATTCCCCTAGCCTGCCTCGCCATATCTCCCTTGCATGCCGTACATCCATCGCCGTACATCGTACACCTGTCTTGGTGCGGTAAACAGAGGTACTATGCGGGGTCCGTAGCCCCTCGCACATACACTCGCAACGCCGAATGGCACCCACCCCAAGCAAGCAAGCAGGTACAGAGGTACAAACAAACATACCGAGCTACGTTTCATACGTCTTTCATACATGCAATGAAGATCTAGCAGCATATGTGTATAGCCATATACCTAGCATATATTATTATAAAGTACAAACACCTCACACGGCCCAAGGGTAGAGCATTTGCCTGCAGTTGTTGAGGCGGACTGAGCGCGAGCCGGAAGGATCATCATCATCATCATCACACACATGGGGGCGACGACAGACAGACCGACAGACAGACCGACAGACAGACCGACAGACAGATAGACAGATCCAACTTGGCAGGGACCCCCCTTCCCAGCTCCGTTATGGGGGAGATGCAGCGCTTCCCTACGACGCCGTCACTCGTTCCCCAACCACCGTTCCAATAAAACCTCCGCTTGGACCTTTCAACCCTACTCTCATACCCCCATCCGCACCAGAGTCTCATTCTCATTCTTCGGTTTTCAGAAAGTGCTACATACAGACTTCCGCAAACCGCGTAACAACAACACTCACAACAACAAAACTTTTATTTATAGCCATCATAGTCCTATCATAGCTATCATCGCCAAATTGCCACTCGCGCGACAGAGACCTGGCGAGGCGGGCTCGCATCCCAAGAGCGCAGAATGGGGGGGGAAGAGTGCAAAGAGCCGCGAGGGATACATCCCCCATCCGCTTCATCATCTGCCGTATCTGCATCACAGCCGTGTGCAGTATCTGCGCCGCCGCGCGACACGTCCGCCCCCCCGAGCTGTGATACGCGATGTTACCTTTGCCGTACGAACATGGTACGGCATATACAGACGTTGTAAAGCACACAGTTATACGCACGATGATACGGATCTTGTCCTGGCCTGCTGTCGCGTTCTCATGAGACTGCCGTAGCCGCCAGGAATATACACGTTGAGCACCGATTCACACTGACATACATACATACATACATGTGCCCGCACGGGCACTCTCATATACACATACACACAGGAAAAGCACACACCGCATCGTACATACAGACATACAGACACCCGACACACGTCCATAGCGCCCTTAACGTCATGTGCTTTGTGGCTCATTTAACATATAATAAAACAGCGATAGCCGCGTTGATGCACACACGGTATCAAGGATTGAAACCCACCCCCACACACATACACACACTCAGACACACATACAGCCATACATACATACGTGCATACACAGACGCGGACAACAAGGCACCCATTGGCGGCATTCCCCCAGCCGTACACCCCCAACACGCGAGTAAGAAGGGCCCTGCGCCTCTTCACCCCAACCCCCCACACACGGAGATCAGTTAGTCACTTATTCACCCCAGACGCGGTGAGGCGGCGGTTTAGCGATGCCGACTTCCTCATCGTACTCTCTTATTCAATCCGTTCGTTCTTAGACATACATACATACATACAGGCCGCCAACCAGCCTGACAATTTTACTCTGCAATCCATAAGCCAAAAGGCGGCAAACGAACCGCCATTCAAGTCTACACAAGAAAAACGACCAAATCGCTGTGTCCATCCGCCCAGTGATCTATTTTCTTGTAGACTTGTTCTTCTTCTTCTCCTCTTTGTCCTCGTCCGCAGAGCTGTGCTCCCCCCGGCACACACACACACACACACACACACACAGACCGGCCCCACAGCCGCGGGGGCACCTTCCCCTTCTCCGCTCTCGCCGGGGCTTCTTTTGTCGGGCTGTGTGCTGACCTGGACTCGCTTCGGGGCCTAGGCGCTAGGCGGCCCGATATAGACTATGGCGATTAAAAGGCGCTAGGCTCTGTCCGCGTCCAGCGCCGACATGCCACGCTTGTCGAGACACGTCTGCAATAGGCCCGTCGGCCATCAGCAGGACCCCCTGCAGGCTCTGTGTGTATGTGTGTGTGCATTGGTGACTTCTTTCACGCTGCTAAATAGTGCTGCTGCTGCTGCTGCTAAACATAAACACAGAAAACAAACAGATCATTGCCGTACATCCGGCGCAACATTCGTCGCCCCCCTGCCGCACCACCACAACACAGCCGTAACGCCAACAGCTGTGCAACACAGCCGTAACCGGACGTAGCTACGGACGGACAGAGGCAGACAAGGACAAAAATGCGCCGCCTCCTGCGCGAGTAGCTCCTGTGCATATTGTGAGCATGTTGTAGGGTGTGTGTGTGTGTGTGTGTGTGTGTGTGTGTGTGTGGAATGTCTCACTCCCAGACCCCACCCCACCCCGGTACCCTGATGTTGCTGCCGGGGGCTTGGTAACAAAGGTGGACCTTCCCCCAACCCCCGCGCAGGGGGGTTCCCGCGGGAGAAACCCCCTCCGTCAGCGCCCCCACCCCCCTCACTGCCTCTACATGCGCAACTTAAGGGACGCTGCTGCGCTCCTTTTCCTCCTCCTCCTCCTCCTCCTCTTTCTCCACACCACCAACACCACGACCAACAACAACACCCAGTTGACAGCGATGCAGCCCGATGGATGACGCTTCATCCCTCCCACGTTGCCCCCCTGGGAAGATTCCGCCGTGCGACGGCTCCTGTCCCTTCCCTTCCCAGCGCCTTCCAGCATCACATCACGACACCGCGCGGTTGACTCGGACTTCAGAGCCGCTCGTCTCACATGATGCATTTCCTCCTCCCCCTATCCCCGCCTACTACTCGGTCTGGACACCTATGCTCCGACGGCTCCCCCCCCCATACCTCCTATCTCCCCCCCTCTCGCGTCGCACAGACACAAAACACATAAGACACACACACCTACACACCTCTACACATGCAGCATATACACACACATCCTTCTCCCGCTTGTGAGAAAAAACTACGACATCGCCGACAACGCATGCGCGTTACCCCGACCCACGCTGCCACCTGCCGAGCTCGAAAACGCCACCACCGGGCTCTCGTAATCCGATGTCGCACCCGCGGAAAACGTCCCCAGCCCCATGCCAATACCCAGACTGCCAACACCCTTCAGCAACCCCGAGGGGGGCTCCAACGACTGGATCGAATGGTTCGACATGTTGGCTCCCTCGGACGCCACCTCCGCCACCGCCGTGGACGAATTCGTACGTGGCATGGCGACGCTGCCGCCCATGCCGCCGCCGCCGATGCTGCCGCCGCCATTGCTCGTACTCGTGTCTCCGCTAAGATAGCCGCGGTAGAGGGCGACCTTCTGTGCGCCGTGCATGGTGTAGTCGAACGGTGACTTGACGCTGACGCCGACGCCGACGGCGTTGTTGAGCGCTGTTGCCAGGTGCTGAATCTGGCTGCGTTGGAGCGCACCTCTCATCTGGGGGTACACGCGCAACGAGTCCAAGTCCGCCATGAAGGCGAGATGCCCGGGCGCGGAGGTGTGGAGGTCGCGGCTGTCCGGCTCATCCAGCTCAGGCCGGAAACAGGCAAACAGGCCGCCAGACTTCTCCGGCTTGGGGTTGGTCTTAAGCGCGACGGTCGGCCAGCTCGTGGTTTCGGAGGGAAGAAGATCAATGACGATGATGCTGGCGTCGTCCTGGTTCCGCAAGGAGGACGAGAGGATGACGCAGGAGGGGAGGAGGACGAAGACGTTTTGGTTTTGGAGCCGTGGATTTGGTGGGAGGGGGGGAGGAGGAGGGGGGGAAAAGGGAGAATGGCGGGAGGAAGGGGGGGGGGAGGGAGGGAGAGGGGCGGGTGGAAGCGACACAATGTAGCGCTCTGCAATTTTCAAGATGGCAAACCAGCGATGCCTGGATGGACGAATACACATGTCGTACTTCCCCCAATCCCGCTCCAAAACCAGTTTGTTGCTTCACGAGGGAAAGCCTCCCAGTCAATACCAAACACACATACATACACACAGACATACAGACAGATACACATATTCGGGCATCCCAACCCCCTTCCATCCACCTGAGAATGTGTTTTCAAATCTCACAGCACTGCCCGCTGCCACATCCTTTCCTTCTTCTCTCGTACTTCCTTTCTGTACTTTTCTCTTTAGATAAAAATTTAGACATCTTTAGATCTTCCTTGTTATACCTTCTTCATCATTCTTACCAGCAATCTCAGGTCCCTGGACACGGCGGCCATGAGCGCGGAGGTGGCGGCAGGTGCGGGTTTGAAGCGACAGAGCTTCACCGCCTTGCTAAGTCTCAAGAGATCCCACACGCCGTCGGAGCAGATGATGACGCGGGCACCTGCCTGCGGCAACAACACCTGCAGCAGCAGCAGCAACGGCAGTAGCAGCAGCAACAACAACATTCGTAAACAAGGCTTTCAGCGGCGAGTAGCGCAATGGTGGTGTGGTACAATGGAAGGGGGAATAATAAATAATAAACGGGGGGAGGGGGGTCAACGGGTCAATGCCGCCGCGGAAGGAAGCGGCACGTCACCAGAACATTCCCCCCCTTACGTCACCACAACACCGAGGCCAACCCACCACCATCACACGTGCGTGAGGTCGCCACCTCAACCGACTGCTCACCACCTCAACGACAAGATGACGACTCCAACCTCCTAGAGACAGAAGCAACACTCATCTCTTTTTCATGCTGTCCTCTAAACCAAAACCCTAAAACCCCAAACCCGACTTGGCGGCAGCACACAGCGGCACTAGGTGGCCAAATGCGGGACTACTACAGCCCGACTACTACAGCCCCAAGCAGGACGCGGCTACCCGGGCCGTCCAGGACAGAAGAGCAGCAGTAGCGGCAGTGGCAGTAGCAGCAATAGCAGCAGCAGCAGGGGGCTGTCGTCTTCGCGGGCTGCCTGCCGCCCCCTGGTCGACCCCCTCCTTTCATCATCGTCATCGTCGTCAACATCATCATCATCATCAGCAGCAGCAGCAGCAAAGCTCATCCCGCACAATACACGCACAGACAGACATATCTTTCGCCAACACAGGTCCATATAGCCCGCTGCCCTGCAGAACCACCACGCTGCGGGACCACGCTGACATCTAATTCCCCCGTCAGGCTGAGATCGCTTTCCTCTTTTCTCAAATGCATTCAACCCCATTGCGCATCCCAGTGCATCCATCCATACCGAAACACAGGATTGGACGAGGGGAGGACGACAAGGAGGAATTGTCAGCACAGTGTGTCGAGTTGTGATGACGTCGGGATGGCCCATACCCCTTCGCGCCATACTCCTCCGCCTCCACCCCCATGGGTCACCATCATGTGACACAACAAAGAAGCTTAGGGTTTTAGGGTTTTAGGGGCAAGCCCGGCCGCGGCTGCTGCCGCGTCACATCCCCCCTCCCCTGCCGTCCGTCAGTGTGTGTACCTGTACCTACTCGCTCTCTGTACCCCACGGCGCGCGTATGGTGTGCATCTGCTAGCTTTTTCTGTATGTATGTGTACGTATCCCACGGCCAAATATGACCACCACACACCAAGCCTCGTTCCCCGCCTCCCCCACAACCCGCCCCTTCTCCCTCCCCTCCCCCGCCCCTCTCCTCACACAGTCAACACAAACAAACACACCTACACACACATGCTCAGCATCTCCTTTCCCCGCATTCCCTTTCCCGCATTCGCTTCCATCTCCCCCCACCCCTTCCATCAGAACCCCCTCACCCACCTCACAGCACCCCCTCTGATGCAAGTAGCCCCCTCGCCCCAGCACCCCCCCAGCACCCCCCCCACCCACCCACCCTCACACCAACCCAGACTCGTCCACTCCTCCCGAACACCCCGATCATCACACCTGCATCACCATCACATTCCCACCCTAATCCCCCAAGCCCCCCCCTTCCTAACGTTATTGTTGATGTGACATTACCATCTGCATCCATCAATCACATTTCCCCTCCTTCCTAATCCCCCAAGCCCCTTCCTAATGTTGATGTTGATGTCGTTGTCAAATTACCTGGCGAATGTGTGGCAGGGGAACTACCTCTGGACCCGCGTCCAGGTCCCCTACAGAGCGAGAGACGCACAGACCCCCGGGCCAGAGCCGGAGCGGTCCAACTCCGAGCTCACCCTGCCTCGCAGGGCCTTGCAAATGAAACCCAAGAGGCGCCAAAGTGCAGCCCGCGGCTCGCAGCCGCGCCTGCTCGTCTGGGTTGCTTTGAATTCTGTGGCTGCCTGTGAGCTCTAGGATGGAGCAGCCCGTGTCGAGGACGGCGGAGGAGTCGCCGAGGTTGGCGACCGTGAGCAGGTAGCCAATGATGATGGCTGCTGTGACGGTGGTTCCTGGAGTGGGTGGGTGCGTTGGATGCGGGTGTGGTGCGGGGTGGAGTGGGACATGATGGTGGTGGTGCTGATGGCGATGGTGGTGGTGGTGGTGGTGATGGTGGTGGTGATGGGGATGGTGGTGGTGATGGTGATGCTGGTGATGGTGATGTTGGTGATGATGATGATGGTGATGATAGTGATGGTGATGATGATGGTGATAATGGCACAATACATGTAGCCGCGGTAAAAGCGTGCGCGTGTGTGCATAAGTGTAGGTATGTTGTTTTATTGTAAGGAAGGTGAGTATGTGCGGGTGAAGGTACAGGGGTTTGTGAAGGCGCGTTGGTCCAGGCAACCGCGGGGGAGAAGAGGAAAGGGGCACAGCGGGATGTATACCTGACATATGCCCCACGGCGATCCAATCGTTGTCCAGCCGCACGAACGTTTCCACCAGTGCTTGTCGTATAACCTCAGCAAAAGCCTCCGTCTCTGCGGCGCGACTTTCCGAATTAGCACGCAGCGATGCAAGACGAGCTGCGTGGTGCAATACGCACCTTTAGCGTTCGTCATGCTCGGTGCTTTCGCCGGAAGGAAAGAATTCAAGATCCGAACAAAATTTGCCGCAACGTAATTGGCAGCTTCGGACCCTGAATGGCCGTCGCAGACCATGTACAACATGCTTTGGGGCTGAGTTGCGATGGCAAGAGGATGAATGTAAATGACATCCTGCGCAAAGCATGGCCAACGTTGCGATCGAAATCCTTTGGAAGCACATCCAGAACATGCGCAAAACTGGCGAAGCTCGGCGCCGCCCAAGGCGTGACCACGCTTGTCCCGACGTACCTCGCCCTTGACAACTCGAGACGCCGTAGAATGGCATGAGTAAGGTGCAGGTATTTGTGCAGGCGCTTCCACAGCGTCGCTTCTTAACGTGGAATTTTCCTGGATAGGGTGAAGACTCGCCACGCACTGGGCCCTCATAGCCGCTTCGGCTGGTGGTGTTTCCGCCGCTTTCCCCACTTTCACTGCCCAATCTAAAAGAACTGGGCCGTGGATCACTTTCTGCGTTGGCTAAAAACTACCAAACCCAGCAGCCGCCCGTTGGAAACCCTACTCGCCCTCCGTCCCAGGAAAAACTTCCCGGTCGGCACTGCTGAAGCGAAGGTAATGAATTAAGCCATAATAGTTAAGGACGATGAAGGGTCGTTGTGTAACCTGTTTGATTGCCGCGCTTCGATGTGGAGATAAGGTCGAAGGTATGGCCTAAGTGCATCTAAGTTGAAGTGTGGGTAACAAAATGGATGTACTGCGTGGATTGTTTCTCGCGCCAAAGCATGGCCAAGTAGCCAGGCAAGTCGCAGTCACGTGCGTACGGCAAGCTCGCTCTTAGTGGCTTTTGCACATTGTTTGAAGCCAGTCGATATCGGACCAGGCTGGATTACGTATCGATGTACTCATAATATCTGTACACTTGTTAGCTTCTGGCTGTCAGTGACGTAACCCTTTCTGGAGGGGTCAGGAGGGCTTCACTGCAGTCCTATCAGCACAGAAGGACGGCTTTCTGGCGTTGCGGACATTAGTTCCATTGGTCGTCATGCTACACCACGCTTACACATGGTCCATTCCTGCAAGGGTTCTTCTGTCAAACCGAAACTGACACACAGTACAAGTACACGCTATGTCTATATTTCATGGCAGTGCACAGACACAGCAAGTCTTCAGGATAAATAGCTTGCATGAATTCAACGCTCTTCTCTGCACATTTAGATAATTTTCGCAGCATCAAAAAGGTACCGATCCGCGTTACTTCAGCTACAGGATGTCTGCTGTTTGCACTGTAAACTCGTTTGTTACTAACAACACGCGTGCCTCGAGGTACTGCCTATAAAATTGGATCTGCTGCGCACCACCGCCACCATCACAACCCTACATTACTGGCCAAGCGTGGCCTACTAGTACGCCAACATATCACGCCACGTAGCATCTGCAAGTAGATCCCAGGGGCGCTGTTGTTACATCACAGGGCCTCTCTCACAGGCCAACCCTGAAGGACGCGCGAGCCTTTCTTCGGGGCCGTCACTCCTTTCTTCCGACGCCCGAATGCCTCGACTATCCACTTGGCCTCAGGCCCACTTCACTGGCCCTCCGCACGTCGTCTTTAAGCCAAGCACTCCTGCAGGGCCGCGGGGGCCCATGGCCCCACCCACCCACCCACCCCCTTCATTTGCCAGCACCACCACCTCCTCCTCCCCCACCACCGCGATTGCCACTCCCCCCACCTCCTCCCCGCATCCCGGCTCTATTACTGGAGCCGGATGTCCCAGCGCGAACCCCGCGCGCGGCGCTGTTCTGCAAGTGTGGGCGGCAGGAAGCGGGAAACATGGCAGCCAGCACAGAAAACGCCGGAAGGGGCCGAGAGGGGGATTTGTGTCCGTTACCCGGTTGAGAGAGTGGCGTGATGGCCGGGGGGAAGTTATCCACGACGGGGTGGGGTGGAAACGAGAGGTGCGCTCGAGTAAGAAAACACAATATATACGAGGGGGTTGCACATAATCCAGCGGCAAACGGCGAATTGGGGAGGGGGCGGATGAGAGACGAAGGGAGGGAGCGAGAGAGGTCGCATGTTTGAGAGAGCGGTGTGTGTCATATCACGCGCACCAACAAGTGTGGTGGCGCACCAACACCAAACAGAGGAGAGGCGAAAGAAAAAGAGAGAGAGAGAGAGAGGAGTGGAGGAGGAAAAGTTTTTGGTTGCGAATTTACCAAGAGGTGGTTTCAACAACCACCTCCAAAAACCCGCGCAGTGTGTACCACCCGTAGCGCGTGTTTCCCTCCCTCCCGCACGCAAGGAAGGAAGGAGAAGGCACAGCATTTTTTGCTGCGACGACCCAAGAGAGACACAAAAAGCCGAAACGCAGAGAGAACACAGCACGTTTATTCTTTTGCATTGCGGAGGCTGCTCGTACACTATGCGTGTGCACTATATCTGGACTCCCCAAAACGTTGGCAAACGTGCGGTACCAAACCAAAAGGTGATATATCTCTCTCCTCGCGACGAGCCCCTGCACCATGCATCATCATCATCACATCATCACCATCCTCACCCTCACCCTCACCTTCACCCTCACCACCACCCTCACCACCACCCTCACCACCACCCTCACCACCACCCTCACCACCACCCTCACCACCATGACCATGACCATGACCATCACCACTCCCACGAAGCGCCTCATACCGCCTCATCATACCGCTCACACCCCCTCACCCACCCACCTGCGGCAGCGGCAGCACGGTACCTTCCTTCAGCTCCCCGCCGGCGGCATCGTTGATGGCGCGTTGCGCCTCGATGAAGAAGGCCAGATCGCGGACCTGCACACCGCAACAAAAAGAGTGCGATCAAGGTGGCATGGTACCGGCACTCGGATCATCAGCATAAAACACACATACACACACAGCCACACACAGCCACACACAGCCATACACAGCCACGCCACATCCTCCCAACCCCTTTTCCCGCTACCCCCAACGCGCATACATACATAAGCCTGACTTCTGCTCCCAGTCGACCCAGTCGACCCGGGTTCAAATCCGCCTGCCGGCTCCTCGGGTGTTTGAGGAGTGATGAAATGGGAGGTGGCCCCCCATCATATGGACGGTGTAGGACGTGATAATATCAACTTGCGAGCTGACCAGGAACTAAGTTGATGCGCCGTTGATCCGCTAGATTTGGTTGGATGCTGGTGGTGAGTTGCCGAACCCAACGAATACATTCTGAAGTCGGATGGGGTGACGGATTAGGGTGCCCCTCTAGCAGGGGAGAGCAGGGACTGCCCCGGGAAAGGGGGCCGCTGGCGAAGTTAACCACCCTGTAACAACATACATACATACATACACACACGCGCACACCTGCTCCTGGAGCTCTTTGACGGCGGCCTGGGCTGCATCCGCACGCGCTTTCTCCGCGGCCAGCTGCTGCTTGAAGTCCTTCTGGTTGGCCAGCAGCGTCTCGTTCAGGGAGCGCAGGAAGTCCGCCTCCTGAAGGGTCGGTTGCGGGCGAGTCGGTTGAGATCTGGTAACGGTTGAGACTGGTACTAGAATCGGTTTGGAATGTATATATATAACCCCCAAAACCCTGTAAAAACCCTATAAGCCCTATACATATATATATATATACAACCCTAAAACCCTATATTTTATGTAATTTTGGGATTCTGATATTGGCAAAAAAAGCAGCTGTCTGGTGGAGGGTTTCAAAAGGCGCGAAATGGCCCGCTGGATCCTGTCAAATGGTCGGGAGACGCGTGTGCAAGAAGCAAAGAATAAAGTGCCTACGGCACCTGAGAGAACACCAACAGTCGGAACTCAAGCCGGGTGGAAACTACCGACTCCGGAAGAGTCAGCCGGGAACGCTGGCTAGGAAGTTGGTTGAGAATTTGGTTAAAGAGGCAGTTAGGAAATCAGTTTCGGTACCGGCTTGAATATTCATGGAAGGACGCCTGCCTGTCGGTTTTAAGGTTTAGTCTCTTAAACATATCCTATTTACTGCCGTTTTAATGCAACCGAAACCCCAACCGCCAACAGCCCAGTTCCAAAGAAAACCGCATTCCGAGGGGAAGAGGAATCCGCATGGACCTCCATTCCCCTTCTGCAGCGGCAGCGGTAGCGGCAGCGGCAGCGCCAATTCCACCCCCCCCAATCATGGCCCCCCAATCCACAACACCCCTTACCGCAAGCCCTACCCTACCTGCATCCCGCAGCTCTAACCTCCACTGCAACTGAGATGCTCTAACCGCAACCGCAACCGCAACTGCAATCGCGGTCCTCCCCGGGCAATACTACACGGCCACACTTTTCACGGCGCTTTTATGTACGCGCCACCACTCCATACGGCAAAACGTACGGCGCAACACGTCGGCCGTCGCCGTCGCCGCCGCCCCCAGCCCTCCTGCACGCCCCCCCAATCTGTGAATGCGAATGCGACCCGCAGTGATCCCCATCACCACCACCTGTCGTACAGTCCGTAGCGCCTCTGTTGTCTCTGTCGTACGCCGCTCCGCCACCTGCCGCCGTCGGCCCTCTTCCCTCGCAACCGCTTGCGCCGCGGCGGCATCTGCCCGGGCCTTATCCGCGGCGGCCCCCGCCTGGGCACAGCGGTGGTCAGCATCCAGTGTGGCCTGTACGGCATGTGGCCGCATGTGGCGGCATGTGGCATATGTGTGGGGCATGTGAAGAAGCTTTCCAACTTCGATGGGCTGCTTCGGGCTGCATACTACTACTACTACTACAACTACTACTACAACTGCGACATTTTCTCAGTCCCTCACTACACCGCCCCTACACCACAGCCCCCACCCCACCTCACCCCCACC